CCGAGCGGCCGCCTTTGTGGCAGGCTCCGTGGGCAGTGCCCTCTCCCCGCTCGTGGGCTGTGTTCAGCAGCCCTCGAGTAGCTCCCTCCTCGCTCAGTTTCACCAGTTGTCCTTACTGGGACCCCTCCACTAGGCAGCCTCTCGCTGTCCGTGTGTTCGGCATGAGGGCGGGCCTCTCCTTCACCAGTGCTGGATGGTGAGTACCCAGTGTAAGAGCCCTGTGTGCGAGTCCTGGATTTGTGAACACTGGTGTACCTGTACATTCCCCGTGCCAGGCACTTGTAACGCTACTTTGGTCTCATACCGTTCAGAGTCCTTGCTTTGTAATGACTCGTGAAGATCACCCAGTGTTAGACATCCCGAGTCCCTGAGTAATCCACCACATCAAATTCCCAGAGTTTTGAACAGATCACATAAACACCTGTTACTCCCATCCTCCCTCTGCCTCCCAAGTTTCCTTGCAAGAGTGTCCAACAAGGGCCTGTTTTATTCCCATCCCTGGCCACTCTTGTTCAGTGTTTGTCTTGAACCCTGTGCCACACTGCCTTCAGAAGTGACCTGCCAGGACCGTCTTGCCCAGCATGTCAGCACCTGCAGCCTGCCTGTGCTGGGGAGCCGGGCATGCTGCTGCAGATAAGCTCAGACACTTCAGGGAGTAACTTCTCTCTGACAGGAAGTTCCTTCCTCTCAGCAGGGATGAGTTACCGAGTTGCTGCATGATCCAAGTCCGTTTGATTGCAGAGTTAACGTAAGGGGTTGAAATTGAGTTTCCGCTGTTTTACTTTGCTTTTAAATGGAACGGAGCTCATGTGGTGAATTTCCAAGCTCTAGCTGAGACTCGACTGTGTTGGTCCACCAGAGTGCATGTCACTTTTTTCCTATTATGTATAGCATGACTATCAAGTTTGTGAGAACCTGTGCTTTTTCAGTACTTAATGAGTACAGATTTTCTGTGTGTGTCCTGGACCCTCGTGCACCTTCACCAGTGCAAACAGTTATTGTGCAGTCTGTGTTTCATTAATGAGATGTAGTGTATGCTTCTTGGTGTTTAAAAATGTATTGATAATCTTATTTGTAGTCCTTGCTGTTCTAACACCCAGGATCTATACATCTCTTGCATACTTTCAGCTGCTGTCATGACAACCCAGCTCTGTGGATTCCTACTTAACCTGCCACCCCAGCAAGTCTTCCCTATATGCTCTTCATAACTCCTATGTGATTTCATCAGAGTACCAATAATGAAAGGAGGGCAGGGAGACTCCACTGTGAGTTTCTTTACCCAGGTCTTTTGCAAATCCATGTCTGTCCTTTTGTAGATACCAACTGTTCAGCAACTGCTGCTCTCAGTAGCCATTTTGCTGTGCATTGTCCTGTGTCTGTTCTCCATCCCAGACCACTATAGGTTGCAACATCAGCTTTGTGCTGTTTCACTTTTTCATTGCTGTAAGAGAGTTGAATTTTGTCTGTCTCTGTAACAATATGACATTGGTGTTATGGTTTTTTATCTGTGTTGTAGATGATTTCTTGAACAGGTTAGTTCTGCTGTCTGTTTTATTACTGGAGGAAACTGAGGCAGGGGTGAAGATTTCAGCACTAAAATGTTTTCCAGTAAGCACTTTGATTCCTCTTAGTAAGCAGTAAATCAATTTAATTTTTTCCTCCTGCTTCTTACTTTAACAACAACACAATTGCAAATTAAGTAAAATTATTTGAATTTTTCTGAAATTCATATGTGTTCTTCAAATTTAGTTGCTAGACCTGGTGAAAAGTTGCTGCATCAACTTTTGAAATTTTAGACTTCAGAAAGTGGTGCTGTCATTAAAATTAGTACTGTAATTTCTGATTATTCCCATGCTTGTGCCAGCATGCATGGTTGTATAGATCAGGAAATGATCTAACAATAATTTTATATTTTTCCCCAGTTGGTTGCAGAGTTTGGTTCTCTGTGGATCATTGCATGGCTTCACAAACGTTTGTGCCTGCACAATTGTGAGGTGGGAATAAGCAGACAGATGGCAGAACTGCTGCTTTCAGCAGCCTCGTGAGCTGATTATGTTTGTGCAGTTGGGGATGCAAGTTTGAAAAAGTTGTTCAGTATTACACGTAAAATTATAGGTCGGTGAATAAATTGCTCTTGCTAAGTGTTCAGAGGCAGCATGATTTCTAGCATTCACAAGATTTGCAGGCAGTCTTACTGATAACTGGGTAACTGACAAAGATTAGATGTTGGCTTTGAAGCTGGGCTCCATCCTGTACAGCAAAAAAATCCTGAATGAGAGCTGGTGTTTTTCAGTGAATGGGTATTGCAGCTTTCTGCCTCAAGTTCATTTGGAGGTTTTGTTTATGGACTGAAATATGTGGCCAAAGAGCAGTGGCCTAAAATAAGGGTTTGTATGTAAATGATAGAGTTATTTTTTAAAGGGATGTTAATTACAGGGAGGATGAAAGACCTGGGAGCAGGTATCCTCACACAAACATGACTCATATTCCTTGCAGGTCTTTGAACAATGAAACTGGGCATGATCAAAGAAAAGCAGATGGCTGAATCACTTGGACAAAGGGTTCTGGCATGTTGTCTTTAGAACAAATCCTGCTTGTGACACCTCTGGATTTTTTCTGATGCCAAGATGAGGACAGCATCAGGGCAGCAAATTCAAGGCAGTAGGAATGAGTTGAAAAGCTTGTTTTGAAAGGGTGTGGGTTTTGAACTCCAGGGCAGCCCATACATGGATGAAACAGTTGGCATTTTCCTATCTCTGGAGTTCCTAAAGCACAGAGAATAGGGTGTGGAGGGTATTGCTGGGGAGGTGTTGGGTTGGAGGGGGTGGTGACTCATGGAGTTAAAAGAAGATAGCTGGAAGACATTGAATATCTCCAGCAGTGTTTTGTTGAGAATAGGCTGAGCAAGTTCTTTCAGCCATAACTTCCTCTCCTCTTGTGGCCTCCATGGATCTGTTAACATTTTATTCTGTCTTTCTTAATTGAAGAACTTTCTCATACCTTTATTTCACTTCACTTTTGGTTGCACTCTAAGCCACCCTTGCCCTTCTTCATTGGGTGTGTCCTGCAGGGCCTGTGCCTTGTTTCCACCAATGTGATGGCTCTCACACTACAGGTTCAGAAGGCATGTAGAAATTACCCTGGCAGTGTGAACACTGATACAAAATTTGAAAATTGCTGACCCAGACAGAATTGTCTCTAGGACAAAGTGTTGTTTAGACGCTGATTTTGAGATTCAGTTTCATGAGTAAAACTACAGAACACCGAACTTGTCCATAGAAATGAATTGTAAGGGAAAGCAGGAAGAATTGTAAAAGCATTTTAACCCACTCATTTATGGACAATGAAAACTGAGTAGCCTTTTTTACCTTTCTGACAAGTAACTTCTATCCCTTTTGCTTTTCTGGTTTGGTCTTGTGCAGTACACAAGATGGGCCATTATGATTAGTGGAAACAATACCATGTCCTGCCTTCTGTTGTGAAAGTGGAAAGGAAGTGTCTACCAGTGTGAAGTGGCTCCGGGTTTGCACTCCTGCTCACTGCTGTTTTCCTTCTAGTAGGAAAATGTTTGAGTGGAAGTGCAAGAAGGTTGTGACAAGAGAGGGAGGGTAAGTGTGTGAAGAGGAGTTCAGTTGAAGCTGTGCTGTGGGGAGTGAGGAGGACTTTCTTCTTAGAATCTCACATCTCTGGTGCCTGTAATGATTTCCCTTGGCACACAGAAATAATCTTTCTGAGTTTTTGTCCTGCACAGTGTCTCCTTCGAGCTCTTCATCTTGCCTACTTAATTTTAATATCAACATCTTTGTGGAGAAGACATTGTCTGGCAGTCCATCAGGTTAACTTTTTTGTCAGTTGTTTGCTTTTTGTAGTCCCTTCTTGAAGGTTTTGGCTAGTGAGCA